TTACTGATATGAATGGGGTATATCCCACCAACGTGTTATTCTCGGGATATATTACATGAGATATACGCATGGAAGTGAGATATATTTCGTAAGCCCCAAAAAGATGCTGACTTTTTTGTGTGCCACCAGGATGGTTTAGATGATATTGATCCCATAGTTCCAGGTGAGCCGCTCTAAAAACCTCCCTTTACATGTTCAGTAAGGGCCTTGTCATAACGCGTTTGGCGTAAGCAAAACCCTCACTTGCGTAAGGCCGCGTAAGGACTTCGCGTATCTTCGCGTAAGGGTTTCCTCAATTTGCTGCGCGTAAGGAAAAACTCTACGCGCGTAAGCATGGCGGAAACTTTGGCGTACCCAAAATGATACGACATAGGGAGTGACTGAAGGTTTTCAGAATGGCTCAGGTGTCTAATTTTTCTATCTTTTTGGGGCTTGCTATATGTGTATATACTATATCAGCAACAATTAGCGACAATTAGACATATCCGGATAGTTTTGGTAATGACCCACGTCGCTAAGTCACTCCTCTACTGACGCTTAGGGGTAACTACTGCATCCCATTTTATGGCCCAACGAATTTCAGGTTGGCCAGTCCACTTACTGTAGTTCATTCTATATCCCATTACTTTTATATCAACTTCTGGGTGTTACACATATATATATATATATTATATATAATTATCTATATTATATATACACAATTATTTCATGGTGTAATTTATCCATAATCATGGTGATGTAAAAGCTCTCCGGTGGGAGGGGTGTTTGAACATGGGGCGCCCGATGACACATTTTTTGGGGAATTTGATGATTAAGCAAAATGTCATGAAATGCCCATATTTGATGATGATATGATGGGTCAATACAGCACCAGGTTTTTCTTTGGTGAACCATACATCACTGGGGCAAGCAGCAGCCAACACTACTGGGCAGAGCAACCAGGATTGTGAAACCATGTGCCAACTGGGACACATAATTATCCTAAGAAGATGTCCTGGCAGTAAGTTTTCAGGCCATTCAGATGGCTCTCTAAGGCAGCCCTCATGGCCAATTGTTTGGATCTCAGATAGCTACCCTTCCAGCACTAAACATGCAGATATTAGCAATAAAGAATTTTGTTGTTCTTTTAAGGCAATGTTTTCTGGGAATTTGATTTCATAGCCTCACCTGCCCTTGCTTCGGCATATTCCACACTCCCTGGGGGACTCCAACACGGGGCAACTAACAGCAGCCTCAGGCACACGTGTGAACCGCTGCTGTCGCATCGTCACCGCTCACAGACCAAAGGAAGAGCTCCACTGTGGCTAAGCGCTTTGCCAGGCGTGAAGGGGAAGCACGATGGAAACCAACACTGCCACAACCATCCAACCACAAAACCCACCAGGTTATGGTGATATGTTGTGAGATATTCATGGAACATCAATGATTAATGGAATATATATATATATGACCAGCGCCAGCAGCAGCCGGCACAGCAGAAACAGAAGCAGCAATAGCAGCCACTAGCAACGATCAAGAAATAGCATGTACCCTCTGACTATTCAACATAGCGAACTGGAAAATCACCATTTTTAATAGGTAAACCATCTAAAAATTATAAATGGACCATTTTCCATGGCTATGAATCATGAATAGCCACCAACTCCGAGTGACAACCACCAAGCATCACCATCAGCCCTGAAGACAACGATGGGGCGAACCCTTTTCCCGGCCGGGCTGAAGGCCACGGTCAAAGTGCGGCTCGAATGGCCACAGTCTGTGAGCAGATTGCGAGTTCAGTCGGTGGGGTGAAGTGCCAGCAGATCTGCAACTTCTTTTTGTGGTCCGAATGATCCGGAGTTGGGGGCACTGGAGGACATTGAAGGGGTGATTCCACCAATTCCACCATAAGCTGCAAGTTTGCAAGGCCAATCGAATCCAGACTTGGCAGGCTTTGCGTGGATTCCTAGGGCACTACAAGATCACACAAGTTCAACCACACAAGCTAAGTATAGCTAAGTCTTAAGTGCCACAAAAATGGCTCAGAATGGCCACCATGTAGCATCCCAAGAAACCTTGAAACAGTTTTTGTTGTTTATCAAGAAGTTGCAAAAAGCTGGGCTTTGCACGGCACCAGAAGTCTTTGCTCAGCAGAGCTGCGAGATTTTAAGAGTTTGTCACGTGCAACGTACGTCCAAAAAAATGCTGCGAATTTCTGATGTCTCCTGGTACCAGGACCGCCAAGCTGACCAAGCTGAACAAGGTGACCTGGAGTCTGACAGTCTGACCGTGTCAGTCTGCCTCCAGTTGCCACGTTGCCATGTCCCCCAAAAGAAGGATTGGTTTGTTTGATTTGTGTTTCAGTGCGTTTCCTTTAAGATTTTTTAGCAGTTTTTTGGGGTAGAAGAACCTGTAAATTGAGACTTGCTGTCACTTGCTGTGATTAATAAAGGTGAGTCAAGATCTAATCATGTGAATTTTTGACGGGATATGTTGGCAAGTTCAGTGCGGCGGGTCAACTTTACATGGAGCACACAGCCTCCAAGATTGATGCACTTCACACCGAAAATGATGCGAAGATGCGATGGACACCAATGGAAACTACATGATGGCGATAGAGTGCATCAAGACTGAGTCACAGGTGCAGTAATTTGGCTCATTGCGAGCGCTTGAGATTGACCGGTGAACCAGAACAATTCTTTGAAAGTCGTTTTCCATGTGAGACTTTTAACTTATTTACGCATTTGCCCCTTGCAAGCTTGACATCAGAAGTGGCTAAAGCACAACGGCCCATGAAAGAACTTCATGTTGTCGGGGCAGATGTGAAAACACTTGTTCCAACGTTCCTGCCTAACAGAATGAGGCGACTTACTATTTTCCAAATACTGCAACCAGAGGCTCCAGCTCGACCTGAAATAGCCCATGGAACCAACACACTGCCAGATTGGGACCACACCAAAAGCCCAGGCACCAAATTAAGACATAAGGCAAATGGAAGAGCCGAAGCCAGTTTCTGCCACGCAGTTTCTGCCGAATTTGTGCGGAGATTTTCATCTCAGTTGCATGACTGAGCGGATGGCTGACCACAAGGTGCAGTCTCCCCAGGCCTTGTACATAGGGCGATCCAAAAAGTCGCCACACGCCATGTCAAAACCAGAGGTTCTGACAGCGCGGAAACAACCGGTTCTGACCGGTTCTGATTGAGGACGAAAACATATTGGGGCTGGATGTTGGGGTGTTGATAGTGGCAAAGGCAGCTTTCAGCCTAGTTGAACTCCATCTCCAATGACATCCATCCATATCATCCATATCATCCACATCCATGTCCAAGCCGTACAGCTTCAATGTAGGAACCAGAGCCCCACCTTCTGTGTGAAGTTTTTCGGCCTCACAGAGATGCCAAATGTGGCATCCGCAACATCTGAACTACATACCTGCCCGACGGCAAGAAGGAAAAGCTGCTAGCTCCAGCTGCACAGGATCTGCATGGCAGAGTTTGGACAGGCTTTTGAAAGCGGTCATGACCGGTTCAAGCTGCAAGATGGGTGGTTTAGAAAGGTGTTGGAATGGCTCGAAATTGGCCATTTGGCACGTTTAAGCCAATACATGCTGACACTGCGATAGAGATGCTTCCAACATCTTCCAACTATCACATAGCATGTGGAGGATGTAGAACTCAAAATTCCCACCATTCGCAGTTTTTTTCCCATGAAAAACCATTAGAAAATTAGAAAGATATGTCCAAACAATGCCCAATCACTTGAGCCCAGCCCTTGAGCCTCCTCTCCCGCACTTCGAGTGCCAAAAGCCTCGGCTATGGCAGATGGCCATGACCATCTGTCGCCAGCTTTCAGTGCTTTCGTTGTGGTTTCCTTTGGCTTCAGGTAGGGCCGCGCATTTTCTGGGCTTGAAATCGGATCGCCGTGGTCTGATGATATCGGAACCCAAATCACTATTAGTGGGGGTTTCCATAAATATGGCTACCCCAAATGGATGGTTTATAAGGGTAAATCCTATTAAAATGGATGATTTGGGGGTACCCCTATTTTAGGAAACCTCTATGTCAATCTATGTCACTGTCTTGGGACATGAGATTCCTTCATGCCCTGACGACTGGCCCTATGATGCCCTTTTTTTCGCAGGTCAACCAGATGGAAACTGCGGGGTGTCCATTCCACGTCTCTCGGTTGAAGCGGGTGGAGCAGAATTAACAGCTGGCTCAGCTGCACGGCTCTTTTTTGGGGGGGACCCAGATGAAACATGGGATATATACGATGGGAGATGTTATGGGATTTAACGGGGCATATATATATATATATATATATTATATATTATATATATATATTGTATTAATATATATATATGTAGATATGGATATAGATATAGGTTATATATATATATATCAGTATATATATATACATAGCCATGCAGATTTGGGTGTGGTACCTTCAAATGGGGTGCACCCATCAGACCATATCAGAGGGAACACTGCTGATGAACCATGGGATTTCGGTGATGTATTGAGGCCTCTGGCAGAAAAGCAGACGTGATGGATCCACCATGCAGGGATCTTTGGGGGCCAATTTAAGCTAACGGAATTGTCAAATATTGTAAAGAATGTACAATCCTGATTGAAAAAAATCGAAAATACCGGGAATTCACCAGAAAACAAGGACAAGAAATATCAAAGAACACATGAGAAATGATGAAGTTAAGTGTTGTCAGTCAGCTCACATCAGCAGAGTCAGCAGCTTTGGTTCCATAGCCTTCCGCCACACATCATCTCGAGATTTTCTTGAACAAATTGGTCAACAGACACGGAAAGTTGACATCGTCGTGATAGATATTCACTGACGGAACCCTGAGAACGTGTTCAAAACGTGCTTCGACATTGTAGGTCGCTGTCTAGCTTTTGCGGACAAAAATCGCCACTTCTCCCAGATGCCACTGATCGCATCCAAGGAGTTCCCGGCGCACCTGACAAACGACTGGAAGAATTGGTTTTGGGGGATCCTGACTCCATGGATTTAGAGGCGCCACCAATCAGATCCCAAGCGCCCCAAGGGCTCAGCTCATCTTAGCCTGCGCAGGACCTGCTGTTCTCCGAAAATGAAGATGATTGGAGACTGAGCTGCACATTGCGCGTTGCGCGGAAATTGCTGGCTGGAAATCTAAATGGCCTAAATTCTCCCCAAGAGGGAATGAATGGGGTAAACTCAAGAACAAACCATCCCCAACGGGGGTTTCTTGTTGGGTTTTCGTGACGTTGTAAGTGATTGGTGGAACGGCCTTCATGAGCTTACATGGGTTTACTACATTTCTGATGACGTTCTCACGAATGCTGCCATAAACATTGGTGATACTGACAGCAGATCAACGTATTTTGATTTCTTGATGGCTGCTGTTATCAAAAATGTGCGCGATGATGTTGATGACCCGCATACTTCAGACATCAAAGATGGCCACGAAGTATATGAACTATGAAAGTCTTCTAGGGTCATTTATTGAGGCTCTAGGACAAAAATTACAGTCACGTATTTTTTGTCCAGGCTTTCACCTCCAAATTCCAGCAAAGGCCCATGGTCCAATGGCATCCAATGGTTTTTTTTTCTGAGATTCGCCATGATTTTTCTGCGAGAGGCAGCACATCCACTACAACTGCGCCCATGGAGAGAGTTCAAGCTGTCGTACCTTTGGAGTGGAGCATTGGCACCTTGGTTTCGGACCAAGATTCTAAGGGCAAAGGATGTAAAGATGATAAGTAGAGAGTAGAGAGAAAAAAGCAACAAACAAAGATGATATCAACTGGTTGGTGGTTTGGAACATGTTTTATTTTCCATCATCTATGGGATAATTCTTCCCATTGACTTTCATATTTTTCAAGATGGTTAAAACCACCCACCAGTCAATGATGATCATGAACGGCACCTGGGGCACCCTCCAGCTGCCAAAAAAGGCAGGGTGGGCTGCGTTCCCGAGGAGTGAAGAAACCTGTAAAGATAAAAAAGATACCGTAATTGGTAAAGAAATGAAAGAACAGTACATAATAAGATGCAAGATATGCTATTGTTCTTATTTTTCTTGTTAGTCGTTCATCTCATTATTGCTCTCTCCATTCCAATATTTTATAATAATATGTTTTATCTTTTTTGTACTTCATTGTCATCAAATATTGGAAATTCGTATAAAAGATCTCAGATTAGTATTACTATTATCTATCATCTCAGGGGGCTTGGCTCACCACCTTCCCTTCCCCATTCACGGCGCCACATGCGGGACATCTCCCCGAACAATATTTCAACCAGAATTTTTTTTAAAGATCGAGTCTAATCAATTTTGACATAGAGAAAAATGTGTTTCTTATTTTGTCCTTTTGAATTTGTATTGGGGGGAAGCTTCGCACCCTAATGACTAGGTTCCTTCCTTATATTCAAAATTATTCCTGGTGTTTATGGTTTGGAAGGGTTTAGGCAATAGGCCTTTGGGATGAATTCCAGCGACGCTCGGCGGCGCTCCGCAACGGAGCCCGGCACCGTTTCACCTGGCACCGTGTCACCCTCCGGTTTTCGCTGCGCCCGACCTCGCTGGGGCCCAGGAATCTCACATCCTTTTGGTACAACGTCATCACCAGCCCTCAGGGAGAACCTGATCCAGAGGATTTCGCTGTGGTGCCTGAGAGGTGTGGAGGCTCCTTCCACATGAACTTGGGCCATCTTGGGCCAACAAAATCTGGGACGGTGATTTTATAGGGGTGATTCATGGTGATTAATTGGCTTGTCAATGGCAAATCCACCCTTTGGGGAAGCTTTCTGGGGATTCTTTTTGGGGGGTGGGGATCCCTTGCAAAAAGGGCGCCTTGGCACTCAAGATCCAGCATAGCTGTCTGGAAAGCTGAAGGATGCTGGAGGATTGAATGGCAAGTTCTATCAAGTTCTTTTTCAAACGTCTATATCTATATTCCAGCACAGCTTTGCATGGGAAACATGTTTGTTCAAAAAAGTCACCACAAAAAGATCGAAGAAATTCCAGAAAGTCAGCCCCAACCCACCCTTTCGTCTCAGGTCGTATTGCTTGCCGACGCATCAAAGGGCGCCTGCGAATCGTCACCATGCACCTGGCGGAGGACGAGCATCATCTGACGTGGAAACTTCAAAAGCTGCCGCATCTGTCGCTGAAAGCGGATGACAGGGGGGCCAGGTGCCCAGGTCAAGGTGACCAGGAAAGGTTGGTGGCATTGACATAGACAGAAATGAATATGAATATGTATTTGTAAGTTATATGCGCACATCAAATATATGGTACCTCCCCCTGAAACCTACCTTTTGGACATATTCATCAGATGGTTGGGTCAAAAGGGGGTTACCTTACATACACGCTAAGGGTCTTACATATATATATATATAATATAAATAATATAATATATAATATATAATATATCATAGAATATATAATATATCATAAAATATATATTATATTATACAATATATAACTTATAATATATAATATATAAAATATGAGATATAATTTAATATGTATATATATAGTGTAATTGATAAATATGCTATTGAGAATGATTATTTATATATATATATATAATATAATATATAATTATATATATAGATCGATCCTACAGTAGATAGAATATAAAATTGGAGGGTGGTGGGATTTATGTTGGATTTTGGCCCGATCAAAAAATGAAAGTAGTTGAAATTTTTAGACCAAATTAGACCCCATCTGAACATTCAGAAAACAAGTAGTTGGAATATTGCTTTGAGGGGTAGACGGAATAATTTAGCTCAAAGTGACCCAAACAAACACTTCAAAATATGGAGGATCGCGTCAAACATATTTATTTATGTGTTTAAACAAGTAGTCAAATGGTTTCTCATCTAAAACTCGTAATGGTCAGGCTCCCTAAAACTGATCGATTTCTCACTACGTTTTTTTTTTAATAAAAAGCACCTCCTTTTGGTCACAAAGGGTCCCCCCCACGAGTGATGTTCTCCGTAATGCATTTACCGTTACAGAACCGGTTCATACCTTGCGTGAATAGGTACATAGAATATGGATTTGTATTTCTGGAGCCCCGCGGGCAAAGTTAAGCACAATATGAAATCTGCTGCGGTGGGGTCTGTTTGTGGTGTGTGTTCTCAATTTTTCGCAGAAAAAATCCATCTACCTTATTTGACGACATATTCTATTGTTTTTTTGTTTTTCCATTTGTTTTGTTGTGTTTATGATTTTGTTGTTTTTTCAATGTTTGTCCAGACCCAGGTCTAAAAATGATTTTAACAGGGACGTGAAAATTGGAAAAACTGTGTTTGCTTGCAATATTCCAATTGTTTTTCTCAAAATGAGGATTGAACATTTACCATATCAATTATATCTAGTTTATGATCACTATTCATTTGTTTGTAAATATATACAATTATTTATTTATAATAGTTCTATTTATATCTTACTTATATATTATTTATTTATTTACTTTTTTTGTTTATATTGTATATATATAATGTGTGTGTCTGTGCGTGTGTTTGTTGAAAGCCCGCCGTTTGAATGATTCATTCCTCTATTGAATAAAGGCCCATCCCAATTGCATTCAATAATTCCAAACGAACCAGGGTCCATTGATGGGGTTCATTTATTCAAACATAAAACGGCAATGCAATTCTTGCAAACCAGATTTTCAGACATGCTCAGATCTCACACTCTGTTTGTGCAACTGCCTTATTATTGTGCATCACGGAATGATATGATTTTTCTAGCATCCAGACATTGGCAACTTGTTTGGCAGTTTCAAGGTTGGTGTTCAAACATCATTGGCAGCTCATTTGGAAACCGTTGTTTTGGTGGGGTTGAAGTTGCCGTACCTGCCTGCCTGCATTTACAGTATGCGGTTTTTTTTGGCAACAAAAAAGCTGTATGATCCCAGCGCGCCCCGTAGCGAAGTTTATTCAGAGTCGATTGCTACAGGTGGTTCTGCCTGCCGGCATCAGGATTTTCGTGTCAGGTTTCTCTTGCAAGAAACTATACGAACAATACGTATGAACATTTTATTCAATGGATTGGTTTAAGGAAAAATCTACAGGAAACCTTTCCTGTTCCGAAGACAGGACATGGTCAACCCTCTATCTACAGGCACTTTTTTTTGCCCAAGTGAAAACATAGCGTGATCCCTTTTGAGGGTTATGAGCCCAAATTGCGTTCACCACTGGGTTCTGTAATCATGGATGCTGGGGGGATTCGAGCTCAGTCGTTGCCGGTGGTGAGCCGATCCCTGAACCTGGGCAATCCTTGGTATTCGGAGAAGACCCAAGCGGAGTGTGAGTTAGAAGCTGCAAGACCCACAAGTTTACCTTTTGGAAATAGGGGAGACGGTATGGCCATGAATGACCACCTGCAATCTGGGATGGAATCGCAACCTTTTCACATGTCAGCAGGGCCTACTGGAAAGGGTCGAGGTGGTGGCTTGGCTGATGCGCTGAAGCCTCATCGATCAGCAGTGGGCAGCTCTGATGACAAGAGGACGGAAGGGGCGATGCCGGACGGAGCTGGTGGGATGCAATCAATGGGTCCAGTCAATCCCCAAAAGGTAGTGAAAAACCAGGGTTCTACAGATGAGCTTCAGCGTGCTCTGGAGGGTGAACTGGTGACTTTCCTGCGGGATCAAAATTCGAGGCTACTGAGCGAAGTAGCGGCACTTAGGAACCAACTAGAGAAGTCTTGGGTAAGTTCCTCACCATGGTCTGCTATTGGTGGAACATCATCTGGGGATTCGCATGCTCCACATGGTCGTGTTCACAATGGACGTCAAGGTAGAGATGGTAGTAGGACACCTCGGGGTAGAGGACGTGACATGGCAGTTAGTCCTGAGTTTCAACACCAAAAACTTCCTGGGAAATACACACCCAATGGAACACGTGTCCCTGATGGACCTCCTCCTGAACATGCTCTTCCGCCAGTACCACCAATTCCCTTTGTAGAGGATGCAGTGGAAACGGGGGAGAATCAACTGCGACAGTCCAGTTTTGTCAGTGGGCCTCCTGAGGATGGTTTGGATCTCTATGATACCTGTGAATCAAAACCCAAAGCCAAAAATGGTGATGCTTCATGGAAACCTGTGGGTGAAAGGGATGGTGTACTCCCGGCACGAGAGGCAAAACAGATGTGGTTGGAACGTGAAGTTCGATCACTTAAGGTGGCCTTGGATAGAGTTGCAATACCACCCCAAGTTCAACAATCTCCATACTGGAATTCTGGGTTTGATATTGATGGTAAGATTCAATCCAACCTTACGGGTCATGCCAATGCAGCGACTGGAAACCGTCGAAGCGCATCTGGTGGATGTGGAGAAGCTTCACTTCAAGCTCGGGCTGCATCTGGTGGATGTGGTGAAGATGCCCTTCATGGTCGGATTGCGTTTGGTGGGCGCGGTGAAATATCTCCTCAAGCTCGGGCTGCAATTGGTGGCAGTGGAGATGTATCTCTTCTTGATCGGGCTGCGACTGGTGGATGTGGTGACATTTCCCTTCAAGATCGGGCCTTTGCAGTTGCGCATGATCATCAACGAGGCAATCGGGCTTCGAGCATGCATGGTGATCTTTTTGCACATGATCGGGCTCCGTTTGAGCATGGAGATCTACGTCCTGACGATCGGGCCTTTTTGCACCGTGGTGATCTTTATGGCCAAGGTCGGGCTCCGACTGAGCACGGCGAACATCTCGGACGCGCTCGGGCTTTTGCAGAGCACGGTGGAGGTTTTGACGGAGGTCGGGCTTGCAGGCACGATGTGGACATCAAGATTTTTGCCACCAACCTCGGCATGGTGTGGGGGGAGGTGGAAACGGAGATGGAATCCAAAAGGGGAGCTCATTTTCTCCCTGGGCTGAGAATGCGGGTGGAATGAACACCAAGGGAGAGCTGCCAGATCTACCGCAGAACTCTAGCCCTTTGCAATTTGGCAATTGGCTTCACTTGATCGCTCTGGTCATGAAAGACATCTCAGGAGTTGCTGGATGGTGGTGGGAAAACACCTTGCGAGAAGCCAAATGCTACCATGAGCAGTGGAAAGATAGCAGCCCCTTGCAGCGCACTCAGATCCAGCCCAAGCTGCCTGACTCGCTGAGGGAACATCAATTCTCTCGAACTGAACAGCGAGGCATTCAGATGTTGCTGAAGGCCATCCCGGAGACGGAGCAGCAGGCTTTGGTGACGGAAAGGGCTTTGTCGTCGACGGCCATCTTGTATCGGCTGCTTGTCCGGTTTCAACCGGGTAGCGCAGGGGAGAAGCAGATTCTACTTTCAGCAGCTGACTTCAATTCCCAAAGCATCAAGTGTGCAAGATCTGGCTGCAAGCTTGCGCAACTGGCGACGTGATTTTGGACGTGCGGAAGAGGTCAATGCCACCTTGCCAGATGGCGTACTGCTCCTGAAAGCTCTTGGTGCTCCTCTTGCGGGGACGCTGGATCCACAGGCAGCATTTAGGCTGTCACAGAGTCGGATGCAACTTCAGCTTGATCAGCAACCTTCTCACCGAAACTTGTGGGCCTTTTCACAATGCTTGTTGGCCGAAGCGGGGACCCTTTCTTTGCTCCAAACGGCTTCGATCCCTACGCCTTCAACTCCACTGAAACTGAAGGTGCTTGATGGTGATGAAAAATTCCACCTCGTGGCAGCACCTCCGACAAGAACAAAACCAATCCTCTTTCAGAGCGACCATGCAAATACTTCCGCTCTGATGCAGGTTGTCGTGCTGGCCGTGCCTGCAAATTGCTTCACTCTTGGGAGAATGTGGATGACAAGGCGTCCCAGTGCCTACTTTGTGGAGGAAAAGATCACCGAAAGAGCGAATGTAAACTGCGCTCTGGGACAAAGGGCAAGCAAGGTGAGCCGACTGGCTCAGGGGGAGGAAGAGGAGATCATGGTGGAAGCTCAACTTCAACTTCAAATGCGCCAACATCAACAATCGGTGGCAAAGCGGGTGCTGCAGCTGTCAAAACCGCCCAGAACACCAACCAGAAGGAGACTTCCTCTACTACAACTGCTGATGATGGAAGTGCAACAGCTGGGGCCTCGAATGATGTAGTTAAATCATCTACAGGTTCAACTGGCGACAGTGTAGATGGAGGTTGAAATGGTGGAGGAGAAGCTGGAAAAACGGAGAAGACTGCAGAACTTCTTCATGAAGCCACCCAACTCCTGAAGACCTTGCGAGGTCCTACACCGAAGTTGAAGGTGATGCACCTGAGTGGCTGGGAAAACGCTGAGGACGACTTCATGCTCCTGGACAGTGGGGCAACTCATGCTCTTCGACCAGCCAAAGATGATCAAGAATGGCAGTTGGGGCTAACAACAACTGTCCAACTTGCAGAGGACAGCACTGACCAATTCAGGCTGAAGAAAGGCACCAAGATCCTTTTGAGCAGCCCTGCAACAACGAATGCCCGGATCATTCCTATGGGTGGACTTGCTGATTTGGACTTTTCGTTGGAATGGACTGGCAGTCAGTGCCGCTTCAAAGATGATGAAGGGAGAGAAATTCCTGGAAGTTCGAAATGGGTGCCCTATGGTATCACGAGAAGAAGGCCAAAAGTTGATGCGCTGGCTTGAAGGTTTTCAAGTACATCAGTGCCGGAAGCTGGCGATTGTGAAGGCCTTGATGGCCGATGAGTCGATGGTCGACAAGAGCACTTTGGACTTGGAGATCGCCATGACGCTGAAGGTGAAGGAGATGTTTCCAAATCTGCCGGATGATGTGGCGATGGGAGTGATTCCACGACTTGACAAGTGAAGTCTGAGAACTTTGGTGCGCGACTTCCTTGGAACCGGCACAAACGACGAAAAGTTCAACGAGCACGGAACATCATCCTCCACATCTTTTCTGGCCATTTCTGGCCCTGATCAGCGATTTTGGGAGCGTCAATGCTCCACCAGGACGACAGAGGTGCTCTGCGTGGACATTGATGGTGCAGTTCCAGCTGATCTCCACGACAAAAACACCTTTGCGTACTTTTTGACGTTGTGCGCTTCTGGCCATGTGAAAGCGATCATCGGTGGGCCGCCCTGCCGCACCATCAGTGCCTTGAGGTACCAGAACGATGGTGGTCCAGCGAATTCGAAAGAGTTCTCTACGGGGACAACGTTGCTGCGATTGGACTGGCCCATGGAACGAGCAACCCTTCCTGGCGGACACGCCACTTGAAGATCAGGGCGGCGTACCTTCGTGAAGCTCTTGAAGGTCGTGCTCCTCGAACCCTATGGCGATTGCTGCATTTGAGCGGCAAGGAGCTAGTGGCGGACGGCTTGACGAAGCCGGTGTTGGGCCAGAGTTTCAAGGCGTTCATGGCCGGCTGACTTGGGTATGGCCATGCACCGTGACCAAGAAAGTTCTGCAAGTGAAGGTGTGGATCAAAGGAGCGCAGCCGTTATGGCTTTGATGGCTGGGAGCTTGCTGCTCTCTGGAACTGATTCCGTCTACGAGGACGATGGTGACACCAACTCTCAAGCCATTTGGGCTTGTGGTGCGATCTTGATGGCCGTGGGTGCAATCTACACGGGACAGCTTATGGTTAGCGGTGCCAAACGCTGCCTCCTTTTATTGTGGAGGTCTTCGCATCAGGAGGAGGATAGACGCCAAGATCCGAACGTGGATAAGGAGTCAATATAGAGGGGGCTTCGGTGAAGATCCAGTGCTCTGAAGGGTATACATCAAAGAGGGGTTCGACCTCTGTGAGTATATCAGGCTACAGTCAGGATCTCGGCAATGTGATTCATGAGGTGTCTTCTATGACATCGGGTTCGGGCTTGCAGGGCGACACGCCTTCATTGGCCTTCATCTATGCCACGATCGGGCTCGCAACAGCAGGGCGATACGTCTTCATCTATGCCACGATCGGGCTCGCAACAGCAGGGCGATACATCTTCATCTTTGCCACAATCGGGCTTGCGACAGCGGGGCAACATGTCTTCCTCTTTGCCACGTTCGGGCTCAAAGCGGCAGGGCGATACACCTTCTTCGATGCCGAGTTCGGGCTTAATGCTGCGTGGTGAGGCCTTGGAATCAACGGGGAGCAGTGGCTCTGGTGAAGTTTTTGCTGCTGCTGTGGAACGACGGCAGCCTGATGCGGCTTCTTCCAATGTAGCTCCAAAGGAGAGCAAACTTCCAAACCCTTGGAATCAGTTCCAAAGGGACAACAAGGGCAAAGGCCTATCGACAACAACGATGGCCAAGATCTACAGTATAGAGATATGAGAAAGACAAGAACAAAATGCCTTGAGCTTGTAGATTAATTTTCAATGAAATTCCAAGGCCGTGCGAACACGGTTCACGTCGCAATTTGTGACTAAATTGGGGGGAGTCCGAAGACAGGACATGGTCAACCCTCTATCTACATAGCGTGATCCCTTTTGAGCCAGTAAATTTTCCCTTAAACCAATCCATTGATTTCACACATTAACAATGCTGGAACTCTGAAAGTGTTTGGATGATTCCCTGAGGTTTGCCGTGGCGCTGGACGGTGCAACAAAGAAAGCCATCAGAGGCAGTCGCTATCCCACTTTGTGGCGGAACTGACAATTTTGGTGACTGATTTGGTAATCCTAAAAATGCTGGTTGGTGGTTTAATTTTATTTTTCCATAATATATGGGAATAATCATCCCAACTGACTTTCATATTTTTCAGAGGGGTAGGTATACCACCAACCGGAATGAAATACAATACACACTATAACTATAATAAAGCTACCGTTTTAGGAGGCGTAATAAACGGCATTCATTTCATTCGGGTATCGGCCTTGGCCCCAAAGAGTAATAAATCTTATTTATGAAAGTTTAACCTCTATTGGAAAAATCGGGCTTTTGCAAATTTCTGGGTTAACATACTCCCTTCCCCCTAACAATCCTTAAACCCTCTGGTGGATGTAGGGAATGAAACGACATGCTCGGGACCATACAATGGGGCGTTTGGGGCCTTTGGTTCAGCCTTTCGGCCCTGCAGTTCTTTGAGTTTAGGTGTGGCATTTCATGGCTTGACCCTGCGAAAATACAAGGTGCAGATTTATAGGAAAGCCATTTGGAATCATTGATAAACCAGTAGTACCGCGCAAGGCGGTGGCGGAAGTTTCAAACATAGGAAACCTATAGGAGAGGTTGGTTGTTGTGAATCACGGATGGCAGAGCGAATCCACTGATGGACCGACAGGTGGTTGAAGTTGTGTTCTTTGGAGTGGTTGCAATGGTTGCAGTGGTCACCTCACCAACAACTGCTGGATGTAGTGTGGTGTAGTGCAGTTGTAGTTGTAGTTGTAGTTGTAGTTGTAGCGTGGTGTGGTGGAGTTGTAGCTGTAATGTGTAAGAAGTGTAGTGTAGTTGCAGTTGCAGTTGTAGTTGTAGTTGTGGTGTGTGTAGTTAGTGTATTGCATTAGTGTACTGTATTGTTGTGTATTGTAGTGTGGTATAGTGTAGTGTAGTCTAGTGTAGTGTAACGTAAGGTAGTGTAGTTGTAGTTGTAGTGAAGTGTAGGGTAATTAGCGCAGTGTCCTGTAGTGCAGTGTAGTGGTAGTTACAAGTGTAGTTGCAGCTGCAGCTGTAGTTGTAGCTGTAGCGTAATGTAATGTAATGTAATTAATGTAATTTAATTAGTGTGGTGTGGTGTAGCGTAGTGTTGTGTAATGTAGTGTAGTTGTAGTTGCATTTGTCCTTGTAGTTGTAGTGTGCTGCAGTGCAATTAGTGCAGTGTAGTGTAATGTGGTGTAGTTGATATTGTTGGTGTAGCTGTGGTAGTAGTTGTTGTTGCAGTTGTAGTGTGATTAGTGTAGTGTAGCGTAATTAGATGCAATTAATGTATTGTAGTGTAGTGTAATGTAATTAGCGTAGTTTATTTGTATTTGTAGTTGTTGTAGTAGTGTAGCGTAGTTGTAGTTGTAGTTGTAGCTGTTTATCTATCTATCTGTCTATCTGCAATCTGCAAGCTTGAAAACGAAGCAATTTTGGGAGACTTCCGCAACTTTTGAACTTGACAACGTCCAAAACGAAACAATTCTGCGAGACGTCTTCATTTTTTGAACTTGACAACATCCGAAACGAAGCAATTCTGCGAGACTTCCTCATTTTTCGAAGTTCAAAACATCAAAAACGAAAGAATTCTGCGAGACTTCCTTCAAAAATGGAAAGTTGAGTGCAGAGTTGACAGCCTCGTGCCAATGCGTTTTGCGATTTTTCCACTCCGCCTGTCTACTGCCACGAAAAAGTGAGGCCAGGTCATACGAAGGGCTGCACCTGTCACGCAAAAATCATCTCAGCAAACCTGAAGATCTGATGCTCCAAAATGCAACCCCTCTCAAGAAATCAGCGCCCTGACCTCCTATATAACATCTCTGATGAACATGTCTCTTGTACAGCACTTGCCACGGAAAATGCATTTTTGCAGATCCTCTTCAAATGTCCCACGCCTGCCATCGTTCTTGGAAATGCCACAAAACCCTCACGTTTTGCTCACTTTTGACAAGGTGCACAATCCCTTGCGCCTGCCACGCGAAACGACATCTGAACATCCAAAAGTGGTCCGAACCCCCTCAGTTTTTTGCACTTTTGACTTCGAAATGTGCTTCGCGCCACAACGGCGTGCACTTTTTCGACATCTCAACTTCCAAAAGTGGCCCGAACATTGTGTGCTTTGTGCATTTGGAAATGTGCTTCGCGCCACAACGGCGTGCAACTTTTCATTTCTCATCTGACCACATGGCTCCGCACCCGCCGCTTTAGCGAGCCTACTTGTGGACCTCCAGACCACAAACCATTGGAAAAACAAAGTGTTTCGCGACTTTCCTACCTTTTCGCGAACCTGGATCTTCTTTCTTCTTCGCTTTTCTCTGGCTCTTCCCATCTCTGCTTTTCATCTGTCCATATTGTCGGAAGTTTGACTTCTAAACTTCCTTCGATGATGTATTTCATGTTCCAGCATTTGGTATCTCCAAAAGATCGCCTGTTTTCCCAGCCATTTCCAGCCATTTCCAATGTTTTTTGCATTTGCCAGGTCTGAGCAGCTTGAAACTGCAGTTACTTTGCCTGGAATATCCAGAGGCAAGTGCTTTGAAGGCTTTGAGACAGCCGCTGCTTGGAAGCCTGCGAAGCCTTCAGATCCATGGGCGGCAGGCGGGGAAAATTCGGTGGGCTGCTGCAACCACTTGGGGGCTTTGCTGGGAGCACGGGAAAAACTTTGGGATGGGTAAGGTCATGGTGACGATAACGATGACGATGATGATGATGTCGATGACGATGACGATGACGATGACGATGACGATGACGATGATGATGATGATGATGATGATGGTGATGGTGATGTTGATGTTGATTTTGCCCTTTAACTGCTACCATGTAATAGTGTGCATCCATGCCAACCCAGCCAGTTGCTACCATCGAAAGAATCTTGCTTAAGGTAGGACTGGGTAGGATTATGATTTCGGGCTGTCACCTAATTGGGTGACATGAGACTCCCCTTGCTGTATCAATTGAGGTTCATAATGTGAGATTTGTTATTTGTTTGTTTTTTCTCCGTTTTTTATTCATATGGATGCCGTCCAAAACTTTTAGATGGAAAATGGACCATGTAGTTCGATCATGTACCTTTGAGAATTGGTGATGGTCCATAGCAAAGCGTCAAATTACTAGAGGGTATTGCCCAAGAATTGAAAAACATTTTCCCGAAAACCCTAGGTCTGGGAATAAGAACAATTAAGAACCCTGGCTTCCGAATAAGCTGTTCCCTCAAATTAGATCCACTGATGCTCTAGTTTGGTATCCTTTTTTAGGCTTTCCACCCGGGTCCTTTTCGTTTCATCATCCCCAGGATCAGCTTCGGTGGACCGCCATAGATCTGAGGGCGGTTTGTGGAGCTGACTTGATGTACTTCCATGCCTTCGCGCCCTGGCGTGATATCTTCGATTTCTGCGGGTGGCCAAAATGATTGGATTCAACCATCGGAGAACATCATGTTCTAAATTTTGATATGGAATGGAACATGGGATTATCATGGAAACTGGACCATACTTATTGGGCCATCGGGGATCGGTTTCAGGGAAAACTTTAACCGGAAAATTTTGCAACACCCTAACAGTCTACATGGTGTCCTGTAACGTGTCCCCTTAAATCCAATTCTGGGATGGATCCAAACTTTCCAGGTATGTACAGGCCGGGTGCCCATCCATAGCAAGTTGGAGTGTAAACCGCACCACTTCACACTATACCACATTCATTCCCAAAACACTGTGTCCACACTGAAGGGTTCTTACGGAGGCCGGTTCTTGATCAGGGTGCTCCACCTGGCTTCCGGCATTTTCCTCCAGATTCTTGCATAAACTGCCGCTTTTGACATGTCCATGTGCATTTCGACTGCGCGCAAAGTCTCCCCCGCGACTTTGGGCGGCAGCATTTTTCCTTTAAATTCTCGGTGGCTGTTGTGACTTGTCGTGACTTGTCCATGTGCATCCCGATCTTGGTCCCCGGCATTTTGCATGTAAATTCGCGCACAGGTGGCTCTTGTGACTCCCTTAAGTGCATTTCGATCGCGTACGCTCGCGCAAACTGTGCGTCCCGATTTTGGTGCCCGGCATTTTTTCTCTTGTGATTTGCCCATGTGCATTTCGATGGCGCAGGCTCGCACAAATGGTACGTCCCGATTTTGGTGCCCGGCATTGTTCTTGTGAATTCTTGCATAAAATGGTTCTTGTGACATGTCCATGTGCGTTTTGATTGCGCAGGCTCGCGCAAATGGTGCGTCCCGATTTTGGTGCCCGAATTCTCGCATAAAATAGCTCTTGTGACTTGTCCGTGTGCGTTTCGATTGCGCAGGCTCGCGCGTTTTAATCCTGCTGAAATCCATTAAGAGGTCCTCCTCGCACACAGATCCTTATATAGGACAAAATCTTGCGCAGATCCTTGCGACGTCCTCTCTAAGAGGTCTTTGCATGATCTTGTACTGTACAGGTCCGTGTGAGAAGATCTTGCGGAGATCCCGGTGAAGTCCTCGCTAAGAAGTCCCTGCGTGATCTTGTACAGGTCCGTGTGAAAAGATCTTGCGGAGATCCTGGTGAAGTCCTCGCTAAGAAGTCCCTGCGTGATCTTGTACAGGTCCTTGTGAAAAGATCTTGCGGAGATCCTGGTGAAGTCCTTGCTAGGAGGTCCTTGCATGATCTTGTACAGGTCCTTGTGAAAAGATCTTGCGGAGATCCTGGTGAAGTCCTTGCTAGGAGGTCCTTGCATGATCTTGCACAGGCCCCTATGAGAAGATCCTGTGGTCCTGGCGAAGTCTTTTGTAGAAGGGTTTTCGCATGATCTTGTCAGGTCGTTGTGAGGAGATCTTGCGGAGATCCTGTTCAAACCCTTCCTAAAAGGTCCTTGCATTAAGATCTTGGAGATGCTATGCATTAGAGGTGCTTGTGTGGAAATTTTTCTTGGATGCTCATAGGAAGTTCTTCTATGAAGGTCTTGTAATATCCTCTATTTAGTATATAATATATGGAAGGTCATTCTTTGCTGATTTTGTGACATTCTCTTCGATGTCCTGGTATGAGGTTCTGGTATGAGGTCCTACACATAGAGTTGCTTGTATTTAAAGCATTGGCTTCCTACACCCCCATACTGTTTGTGGCCTCTTGCCGGGACAATGATGGATAGTGTTTGGGGTGCATGCAAAAAAACACTTATTCCAAGTGCCTCTCGATGTTAACACCCGATGTTGTATCAAAACTTATTACCATATACTCCAGAGAGGCGATGGACCCAGAGAAATGTGTTGGGGGCAAACCCTCATTTTACCAATTGTTTTGGCTAGCCACTTTGGTGTTCACCAGGGTACCAGGGTTTTAAAACCACCGAAACATCTTCCCAAGCCAAGGCCATCAACGTGGTGGGTGGAACATTGCCCGACTGCTGGAGGACGATGAGGAATCTGCGAACCTTCTATTGCCACTTGGCCGATGCAGCTGCATGTTCTGGCTGTGGCGCCAGTATGATTCCTGTGTTTGAACCTATGCGGTCACCATGAAATCGGGGATTTGAAGCATCCAGCGGTGGCATTTTTTTCCTGGTTCCGGGGAACCAAACACTGTCAAGTTGCTAGGCACAAATTGAGTTCAGCAGGCTACAAACAAGCAGAGCAATGTGAAAAAACAAACCCAAACAGACCATAACAAAAGGTCCGGAAAAAAAATGGATTTACCCTTAGGCCACGACCTGGACAACGCATTTTAATTCACCCACCAGAAGTGTGGCACTTTGACCGACTTTGACAACATCACTGGTGCTTTTACCATGCCATTTGCTGCCGGCTAGAGCCATGGAAGTCCACCTTCGGGTTCCAGCAGATCGTTGGTGCGTGACCTTTAGCGAACTCTTCCAATTTGTGGAAGACGTGCGCGCAGCCTGGCTGGCGGGAGAAATCTTGCAGACAGACACTGGGCAAGAATATCACAGCAACAAACTGGTATTTACAACCGGTCCACTAAACATGTTCAGCGGTGAGATGTACCATTTTTTGTTCAAAAACCATGGCGGATGGATGCTGATGAATGCTGATGGGACATATCTTTGGAGCATTTTGAGGTTGGTAAACTGCTGTAAGTTCAGTTCCAGTCCCGTCAGTGTCGCAACCTTTTGAAATCTGAGGGGAGCAATCCAGATCCGTTGCATGAGAGCGGCTGTTATGGGCCGAACCTCTACCAAGTCAATGAGTATTCCGGCAGTGCAGAAGCACAGCGTTTTCTGTTTTCAGATGCGAAACCATATGTCAAAGTCAATTTTATTCAATTTTCAAGTTTCAATTTGGATGTGTTAGGTGTTTTCTCCCCTTCACTACCTGGTTGCTGGTTTCAAATAAATATCTAATACGGTTTGTCCAATTTTTTGGGCCAGATATGTTCGTTTGAACATCCACCACTGGCCTTGGAGAGGTATTTTGTAAAGCCGAAGACGTTGGCAGCTGGAGGGATGAGCTATGCCTTGTGGTTACATCCTGAAGGTCTTCCATGCCAGGTATTCATCTCACACGCCTGGGCTGAAGCTTGGCCTCCAGGGCTGATTTCACCATCATGCCGCAGAGAAATTCCTAGAACCAATCAGACATGAGATCAACGGGTTTGTCATGGTGATGTTTCACGATGTTTCACGATGTTTCATGATCTTTCAACTTGTAACTTGTGTTTTTCGGAGTCCGATTCATGATATTCATATATATTCATGTCAGTGTGCAGCTATGACAGCCATGGCTGTATCATGAAGCCGCATGTCATCGAATTTCCATGATCCGGGCGCCCGTTTTCTGCGTTTGAGGGCGAGCCGAGGTTCGGCGTCAACATATGAGATGGTATGGGTCAATATAGCTGTAGCCAGTGGATGCTCATCATTTGTGTCATAAGGTTATGTGACTCTGTGATAGTTGTCAAAGTTATATATATATAATACTTAGCCTAAGGAAATTAACCAACTGAGCTGACTTAACTAAGCACCATCTACAGCCAAACGCCGCCCAAACTGAGGAAGGGATCTTTGAGTTTGGCGATGGTGTGAGATCGGCCTGGCCCGCAGGCCGCGGACTCACCAATCTCTACTGCTGTTCCTGGATCTTAAAGCCGTGGATTGTGTGTCTGTGTTTGTGGGGTGCCCTAGGTAATTCAAAAGTTTGCGAACTGCTATGGCCCATCTACTTCGACAATATTAGAAATGATGACTTTCCATAGCTTAAAATACCAGAGGGTATACCACCTTAAATGAAAAACTTGGAAAGGAAAAAATGTCGGAACCATGATGGAAAATGCGGTTCTGGATCACAAGATTTTTTTGGGGGGTACATTTTGCTTCATGAAAGGGAGCTGGACGAGTGGCAAAGCCCGTGTTCAAAACGCTGTTTGCAAAGATCCATCTGAACTTCCATCCGCTTTACTACACAGAAAAGAATGGCGTTACCATGCCACGGTTGGATTCCCATTTCGTTTTGCCAAGGCTTCCAGTGTATTCTCAATAATCGTAATACATTGGTGTTTCCGTTTTATCCTTTTCCCACACGGAAACCTCTATTCCGGAAACCAGCATGCAACCTGGCCCTCCAGCCATACCATGCCATAGCCAAAGCGACTTTGTTCCAACATGAGGTTTATTGGCCAACCCGCAAAACTTGGACCTGGAAGTCTTCCTCAACGTCTCTTGCATTTGCTCAGGGCTTTTCAGCATCGATTTTGCCAATCCTACCTGCCAGGTGACGGATGGTGAGGGTTTCTAGATTTCATGATGATTGTAAATGTATATTATATATTATATATATTCATTATATTCTTATGTCAGCTTGCTCCTTCTTCTTCTTCGACCTCCACTCCCCCTTCTCTGCGCTTACTGGCCGCTACAGCAAGCTTGCAGAACACTCTCCCGAGCTCGCGGGTTCTTTGGGCTTTGCCGGGTCCGAACGCTATGCCTGATAAAATGTCAGATAGAACGCGAAAACAAATGCCTGATAAAATGTCGGAGTATGTGTCCGATAGAAAGCAAAAAGGCTGGGGGTCAAATGTTAGATAGGATGCCAGAAAAATTTGCCAATAGAACCCCAGATAAAATGTCAGAAGATATATATGATTATATCAGATAGACTGCCAGATGAAGTGTCGGATGGAATGTCGGATAATATGTCAGGTAGGCTATCCGATCAAATGCGAGATCAAACACATAAAATGTCAGAGAGTTGTCAGTCAGAATGTCAGACTGAATGCCGGATAGAATGTCATATAAACTAAATGTCAGATAGACTGTCAAAAATGCTCGTCAAAATGCCAGAATAAAAATGACAGGTGGTGGGAATCATTCGAAGTTGTTTTTATTTCAGCATTTTTTTCTGTATATGGGGGCCCCACTGACATATTTACCTCAGGGTTTTGGAATCACCAACCAAGCTGGCAGCTGTGAGGTCGACATTCTGATGAATCCCTTTGCTCAAGCCTTGCAGCGAGCTTCGCACATTTTGGTGATTCCCAACTCCAAAATTTCCATCTACAGCAGCTTGGATTTTGATGGATGGATGGATGGTTCTTTTTCCATGTGTAAATTCATTATTCGGATATTTGGGTAATCTATTGGGTGGTTGTTTTGCTTTTTTAATAGCTCTTTGAGCAAGTCCAAGGTAGGCTTTGGTGTGTGTACGAGGCGTATTTGGGCACCACCATGGAAGAAAAGGTTTGCCTCATGCCTGCAACACCTCTTGTCCGACGGCAAGGCTATTCATGCGCCAAAGTCTTATCGATTCCTTTCCTCCTGGGACTGCTGACCAGCTTGCTCTGGCGCTACGTGATATACCCCAAGTATGGCCCGGGCCATGTTTTCCAGGTGGGCTAAGCTGATATCAATCCCGGAAGGGTGATCAATGGGGGCGGTTTCTAGTGCTAATCTGCGAGCAAACTGGTACACCAATGATGTACCACCCCCCCAACTAATCAGCCATATCAGCCCAGGGGTCAACATTCATCCAGGTGATCTTCAGCTGTCTGGCTGTCACGGTCATCGCCTCTTTATGGGGCGTGGTGCCCCCGCAAATGCAAAAATGCATGGCCTTCGTCAAGTCTTTGCATGCGCTGGGTATTTTCATAGCAACATCTGTATGCCTTCCCTGGTGGATGTCGCCTTACGATTATGCATCCGGCACCTCGCATGGAGTTCAGTTTTTGGTCGATTACATTTGGACCACTATTCGGTGTTTGTGTTGTTTATTGTAGATGTACCGTGACATTTAAACATGAGGCACAAGCAAAAGAAATTGTGCAGGCAGTATGCGCAAGTGATGTTAAGATCACCTAAAAGAGACACATCATACAGCAAGAGAGACGAAGGAACAAATACATGAAGTCACAATCGTCACAGTATACATGTGCACACACAGATTTGGACGAATGCATTTGTGCTAAAGCAGGTGTATGAAACAGAAACACCCAGTTTCTGTGAACGCACCATGGCATACAAAGTGTGGTATGGTAAGTCCTCACCCAACGAGTTGAGCAGCATGAAATCCGGCCATAGGATCAGCAGCCTTCTTGCACTACTTCATCCCCTGTGCGCTCCTCCTTTTCAATATGCTGCTGGGTCGCAATTTCGGCAGGATGTTTTTGTGGAAATCTGTGCGGCTGTTGTTTCAAATAGATAGCAAACCCCAAAAAGACAAAAGGTGGAAACCTGGAAAATTATGTGGAAAACATCACCGAACCACCATCCCAGATTGAATGCTCTATACTTTTTAAGGAGCATTACTATTTGGTGGAAACATCATGTTCTGGATGGAATGTTTTACTACTATTTAAGCGTGATCCAAGAACTTGGCTACACCTCAGGATGTGTCTCATGCACTTGGATATGGAGTTGTTGGAGTTCAAGCAACTGGCAGAGCAAGCCCAACATTTGTCCTGTCAGACTGCGCCTTGGTCCAGTCGACTTCTGTTGAAACTGAAATCAGAGGTTTCCGAAAGTGCAGGTAGCCAAAAAATCATCCAAGTCATTAGACCGTTTTAGTATTGAAACCTATTAGTTTTTTTGGGGGGAGTCCCCATTTTAAGAACCCCCATATTTTGTACCGCTTGTCAAGTGCAAGTTGTTTTCTGTTGTTAGGTCCATGCTGGTCACCATCCACCTACATGGACCTACATCAGTGTCATCCGTTATGCTTCATTGGTTTTTTTTAGCATAACGCTGCGGCCTGCATGTTGGTGATAATTCTCCCTTTGAATCGGTGCCAAGGTGCAGGAGGCCCAATGCACCAACAGGTTTGATGAAGAGCGCATTCGCCATGCCATTGCCGGTTTCGAGCATGATGTGGATATCAACGTGCCCTGGATTTGCTGCTGAAATGATGTTTTCTCAAATAAAAACCCTTGGACGGACAACCCGCCGGCTGAATCTTTACTTGAATGGCACCGGAATCAAAAAATATAACGTTCTGGCGCGATGAACTCCTCAATGGTTGCAAATTAAATCATCGTTGCTGTTCGTTGGTAAGTTCAACATCTTGCTGCTTAGCCTAAAGATGTCCACATGTCTTGACGGTTCAATCCAAAATGTGCGCCGATCCAATTGTTGGTTATTTAATTCACGTGTTTGCACGGTTTTATCTTGACATCATGGAGCAAATAGAAACTGAGGATAATATGGGATGTTCAAACATATGCCCAATTGTGTGAGAGATTTTTCTTTGATATGCCCGTATTCTCATATTCTATCTACTCCAGAATGACTTTCTCATTTTGTCGATCACTTTTTATCGCACAGCTTTTATTTTTCCAAGGTGCGGGTCTTGATGTTGTCTGGAGCCTTCACCTCCAGTTTGCGACGGGCCTATGATTCCGGCGAAGATATCCGAGGGGCTGGCATCCTGAACGTCAGATGGAAGGCGCAAAAAAATGGTGGAAAAGAGCGGATGAATGGATGTATACCCAATATGGCAATACCCTTTGGCAAACTAACATAACTATGGAAAATCACAATTCTTAATGGGTAAATCCACTATTTCTATGGCCATTTTCAATAGCTATGTTAGTCATAACCAGAGGGTAATAGGTTTTGTTGGTGGGTTCCAGGTGATTGCACCCCCCAGTTGGTTATTTTGGGAAACCTGGAATTCACGGTCTTTTGGCGGGTTCCGGAGGCAGGTTTGGCGGAGGCTTCGGGGTTGTTTTCAAGCGTGTTTGGGATGAAGAGCCGCATTTTT